TGTGCCTGGCTATTTTTTTTTTTTTTTTTAAGATGGGGTTTCACCATGTTGGTCAGGCTGGTCTTGAACTCCCAGCGTCAGGTGATCTGCCCACCTTGGCCTCCAAAGTGTTTGGATTACAGGCGTGAGCCACCACGCTCGGCCGCGACCATTTATTATTTTAGCTTATGCATCTGGGGTCCACTGTAGGTCCGCAGATCTAGCCTGGGCACATTGGTTGGCTCTGGTGTTGTTGGCTGGGCTCATATGTGCATCTGAGAGTCTCCTGGGGCTCTGAGTGGGACTGAGGAAGCTTCACCGAAGAAGCTCTGCTCCTTATCTCTTATCTCATTGAACCAGCAGACCAACCTGGACATGTTCTTCTCACAGCAATGGCAGAACAGCAAGAAAGGCCTTGGAATCATGAGGGCCTCTTGTTTCTCTAGAATAAATAGCCAGGAACAGGCATGCTGTCATTTCTACCTCATTCTGTTGGTGAAAGCAGGTCACAGGCTCAAAGTCAAGGGAAAGGGGAAAAAGCCCCACTCACTGCAGAAAACATGAAAAACACTGCAGAAAAGGGAATGAAGAGAGGGAGAATGAAGAGTTAGGGTCATTAATGCAATCAATTGCAGCACTTGCCGTCTAACTTACACATTTTGCTTGTGTTTGTTCTCTTGCTGCTAGAATCGAAACTTCCTATTGGTAGGGACTTTTGAGGATATTGCTATACCCCCAACACCCAGAACAGTAGTATGTTATAGATGTTTAATAAATATGGAATGAATCAGTTAGGAGGATTACATTAATTATTTTGGCTTATGCAGGAAACCAACACTCCTTAAGATGGAATGTAAGTTTATTAGTGTTAGTTTATCCTAAATCGATCGTATAAATTTTTTTTTTTTTGAGACAGAGAGTCTTACTCTGTTGCCCAGGCTGGAGTGCAGTGGCACAATCTTGGGTTACTGCATCCTCTGATTTCTGGGTTCTAGTGATTCTCTTGTTTCAGCCTCCCAAGTAGCTGGGATTACAGGCACATGCCACCATGCCTGGCCAATTTTTATATTACATATTTTTAGTAGAGATGGGATTTTACCATGTTGGCCAGGCTGGTCTCGGACTTCTGGCCTCAAGTGATCTGCCTGCCTTGGCTTCCCAAAGTGCTGGGATTACAGGCATGAGCCACTGTGCCTGGGTGTTGGTATACATTTCTGATTTAAAGATTATTACCCGTATTTGTAGAAAGTTCTGGCTACTAAGAATAAACATTTCTTAAACTTAAAACAAGTCTAGATTTCAAAATGGTTTAACATTTTCCTAGAACATATAAACAGATACTATATAAAAGTAGATTGGTTTGATGGGTAGAAAATTAGAAGTCAGGAGAGGGTGAATTTTACACATATTTTGGCAGAGAATATATTGCTTCTTCCTATATGGAAATAATACCAATATAATCTCAAGCTTTCCAAATTTGAATCTGAAACATTCTCAAGACTTTTTGGATTTGAGCTATTCAAACAGATGTGGGATACAGGATATTACTCACCCAAATAACTTTTTTAAGGCTTTTTGGGTCCACAGAAATTCATTTATTTCTGTCCTCTCTCGGTCCCACTTTACCTAATCCAGAAGACAGCTCAAAGGAGTTTTCTTCAGGTCATGCTTTCAAAGGGAATTCCTATGCAATGTATGTTTTTTAAAATTCCCTTGGAATTTGAATTTGTGCTGCCATTTTTTGACTGTGACAGATGATGAGGGAGGAGATGAAGTAGGCGTTAATGCTCCATTACATAAAGGGGAGCTTTGTGTATGTCCATACTTGGCAACAGGCTAATTTGGGACTCTGACAAGATACCCAAGTCTTGAATGCTGGAGTATCTGAAGTTTCAGCATGCCAAGTGACTAACTCCTCAGCTGGGCATCTTTTACACCTGAAAGCTGGGTTCCACGAGGATATATTATTTTGGATAAAAGGGAAACCTGGAGATTTAGGGGCCTGGACACACCCTGAATTCTAGTCCTTTCTCTGCAGACTACTGAATAGAATCCCTACAAACAGTGAGTATTGCAAGTTATACATTTAAAAGGTTGTAAACATTTCTCAGAAAGCTTTCATTTACCAATTTACATGAACATACTTGCCCTATTGTTATTAAGACCCTCCAAAGAGTTTAATTCATTTATTTGAACTTTAGTTTTTTGAGCTGCGGGTTTGGAGAGGGTCTTTGGTTCATTCATTCGGCAATCATTCATTGAGGGTCTACTGGATACACCAAGTGCAATTAGACAGAGCACTTTGCCCTAAGACACTCACAAGTGCCTTAAGATTTAAAAGTCAAGGGGCAATTTCAGCACAGGTGGATAAGGGCTAGACTGGAAAAAGGGTGCTGTGAGAGTTCAGAGGGAGAGGTGCCTAGGGACATCACGGGAAGCAAGGAAAGTAAACTAACATTAGTCATTGTTTGATGCCTTCCAATGTGCAGAAGTCCTTTTACATTCTTTCTCTCCTCTCATCCTGACACTAGCCCTCCCTGCAGGCTAGGGCAAGGTATCTTTCCTATGACCCTAATATTCCTGTGTTAGGCTGAAGGTATACAGTCTCAATGCTCTACACTTTGTAAGGGATTTAACCTGCATTCACAACTGGGTCTGTTGGCAGAAAGGAGCCTGGTAGATCCTGGGCAGAACAGCTCCTGGGCTCTGGAGCTGGTGTCAAGGAGACGCCTACCTGTAGTGTCAGGATGAAGGTAGGTGGAGCCAGACAGGAGATGCTTGAGGCCTGTGTTATAGTGAACCCCAAGTTTCTCTTCAAAGAATCAGTATCTCAGTATGCTCAGTTCTTTTATTCTTTAATTCTCTATTTTAAAGTTTAACTTCCTTGTAATTCCAGTAAACAACCTTCTCCACCAGTTTTAATCAGTAGTTCACATCTGTTTCCCTGGCCCCCCCCACCCCCCGCTGCATCCTGATTCATCCCTGTTACCTGCTCCAGTCACCTTCTTTGACCTAGGTTACCCCTGGCTGCCTGCTCTGACGCGCCCGTAACTGTCCTTCCTGCCAAAACACTCACCCTTTCACTCCAGGTCAGACTCCTGCTCTTTTTAAAATAGCCAATCGGGATTAGTCTAGCTTGTGCGGTATAACCCTAGCCAAGAGGGGAATGACACAGCAGGAGGGACGACCCCTGTCAGGCATAAGTACCCCTTCCCCCCTTGTCAAGCATGCAAGCCACCATTGCTCCATCCGTACACCGCACCCTTCTATAGAAGTAAACTGCCTTGCTGAACGGATTTATCTTCGAGTCCTATTTCTTTTTCGGCACTGAAATTTTACTTGTAACACCTGGGAAGAATAAGCCAATCAGGACAGAGGTTTAGGATTGGCTGCGAAATTTGTTCTCCAAACAACAGTAAAGGGAGACCAAAGGAGAAAGAAAGGAGAAAGACAATAGGGCCTATTGAAGAACAAAATATACCAGTGACGACAATGTGCCAGTTAGGTCAAACTGAAGTTCAGGAAAAGGCACACAGGAGCAAATTATTCATCACCCCAATTCTCATTCACAAACTGGAGATATCTTTCTAACCGAGCAGGTGTGAGGATAAGAGGCAACAAAATTAAAGCCTGTGTGGTAATGTCATCTCAGATGCTCAGGAACTGTGACAACTGCTAAATGTAGATGTGGCTGTTTCACTACACGCAATAGAAAGTAAAAAATACTTCTGGGGCCGGGTGCGGTGGCTCAAGCCTGTAATCCCAGCACTTTGGGTGGATCACGAGGTCAACAGATCGGGACCATCCTGGTCAACATGGTGAAACCCCGTCTCTACTAAAAATACAAAAAATTAGCTGGGCATGGTGGCACATGCCTGTAATCCCAGCTACTCGGGAGGCTGAGTCAGGAGAATTGCCTGAACCCAGAAGGCAGAGGTTGCCGTGAGCCGAGATCGCGCCATTGCACTCCAGCCTGGGTAACAAGAGGGAAACTCCGTCTCAAAAAAAAAAAAAACTTATTTTTTTTGAGATCAAATTCCAAGGTATGTGTATTCTTTGGGTCCTGAAAATGAAATTTTGAATATGGCAGCATTTGTCTTCTCAGTTACATGTGTCCCCTGGTCCCACGAGGTTATGTAAGGCCTACAAAGCAGGTACCTACAAAATTAGGATGACAGATTCAATTCCCAAAGTAAGTGATTTTACCATCTCCTAAGTATAGCAAGAGCTGTAGCTGAACTCAGACTCTGGTTCAGAGTTTGCTGTGTGCACACCTCATAGGGGTCGAACATTGATTAGAATGGGTGCCTTTGGTGATCCTCAGGGCTATCCACAAACATTCTGGTTCTTTCCTTCCAAGCATGTGGTATGATTTTACTTTTTGTCCCCTTAAGGCTAGGCATACCCATGGGATATCCTTTGGCTGATGAAATGTGTTTATAAGTGATTTGTGTCAAATGTAAGCAGCCTTTAGTTAGGAGCCTGGCCACAGAAGCCATGGAGCATTTTTTGTTTTAAGACGGAGTCTCACTCTGTCATCTAGGCTGGAGTGCAGCGGTGTGATCTTGGCTCACTGCAACCTCTGCCTCCCGGGTTCAAGTGATTCTCCTGCCTCAGCCTCCCAAGTAGCTGGGACTACATGCGTGTGCCACCATGCCCCGCTAATTTTTGTATTTTTAGTAGAGACAAGGTTTCACTACGTTGGCCAGACTGGTCTTGAACTGCTGACCTCAAGTGATTTGAACTGCCTGAGTCGGCTTCCCAAAGTGTTGAGATTATAGGCGTGAGCCACCATGTCCAGCCGACCATGGAGCATTTAGAGATGGAGCCTCTGTCAGTTTGGCTTCCTGGATGACTCAGATGGGCAGAGAGCCCCTTGCACCTGCATCACACACATAGCAGACACAAGAAATAAATCTTTTGCTATGCTTCACTGCTGTGATTTCCAGTTGTTTCTGCTGAATATTTTGGCCTATTTTGACTGATACATTCGATATTCTAGAGCCTTTTTTTTTGTGTGGGAGGAGTGTACTGTTTCTGAAGGTACTGCACTACCACAATACCAGGTTGATGTGTGGGGCGGACAGAGCAAGCTCCTTATCCCATCTCCCAGCTCCAGACACCCATTTAGTATATTGTGCTTAGATAGAAGACATATCAGATATTCAGATAAGAATAGATACTATACTTGATCTTAGCCAAAAGGCCAAGAAACAATGAGGCATTTTATTTTTATTTTTGAGATGAAGTTTTGTTCTTGTTGCCCAGGCTGGAGTGCAATGGCGCAATCTCGGCTCACTGCAACCTCTGCCTCCCAGGTTCAAGCTGGGATTACTCCTGCCTCAGCCTCCCAAGTAGATGGGATTACAGGCATGTGCCACCACGCCCGGCTAATTTTTTGTATTTTTAGTAGAAATGAGGTTTCACCACATTAGACAGGCTGGTCTTGAACTTCTGACCTCAGGTGATCCACCTAACTTGTCCTCCCAAAGTGATGGGATAACAGGCATGAGCCACCTCACCTGGCTGAGCCTTTTTTTTTTTTTAAACTTGAGGGGAAAGTTTTTGTTAGTTTCTCTTGCTTCTTTTGTTGAGGAAATAGGAGGATAGAAAGGCCAAGAACAGTGGAAGGAGATAGCATGTACCTACCCTCCATCTGGGCCCTCAGTCTAGTCTGAAGTCCCAGTGGACAGCCAGCAGTGGCAGCAGGAGCAGGCAAACATGGCTGGATTTGTTACAGGACATGCCTGAGACATCACTCTGGAGACTCCCAGAAATGTCCAAGGGAGATTTGGGAAGAGTGGCTAAGGTCCTGGTGTTACCCTGGAGGTGCGAGGAGCCACTGTCATTTAGAATTAATATTAATGTTACCTTATGTGTATATATAGGCTTGGGAGGTATGGGGACAGTGAGTCAGATAATAACTCAGCTGCTTTGGTTCATCAGTGCTTGGAGCATGCCTGCAAACCTGTGACAATATACACCTATTGATCTTTCTGATTGACTGTTGCCTTATGCTCTGTCATTGGTCCATGTGGACTGCTTTTATCTGGCAGTATGGATCAGTGTATATTTTCTTTAGCAGTTAAACTGAATGTACAAGTTTTAATTTTGTGGGGAAGAAAACAAAAATGTTTAATTAAAAAGCTGGTATAATTTCTAGACTTCATCATGGGACCAATTTTTCTTTTTTTTGAATAAAATAATTTTCATTTTGGGAGAGAGTTGTGAGGTGTTTTGCCAAACTATATTTACCTTGTCTATGAAATGACTTTTTTTTTTTTTAAATCAAGACCAGTTTCTCCCCCAGGCTAGAGTACAATGGGGCGATTTTGGCTTACTGTGACACTTGCCTCCCAGGTTCAAGCAATTCTCTTGCCTCAGCCTTCTAAGCAGCTGGGATTACAGGTGCCTGCCACTACACCCGGCTAATTTTTGTATTTTTAGTAGAGATGGAGTTTTGCCATGTTGGCCAGGATAGTCTCAAACTGCTGACCTCAGGTGATCCACCAACCTCTACCTCCCAAAGTGCTGGGATTACAGGCATGAGCCACTGCAACTGGCTTGAAATGACGAAGAAAGCCACAAACTCTCCCCAGGTAGATTTTAAGGGGTGAAGAATGTTGGAAAGGAAGAAATAATAGATAAACTGTTATGAAAGAAAAGAATAGAAACATTTTTGTTATAATGAAACTTACTGAATTGCAGGAGGCTTTCATTCTCACACCCTGCCACAAACCCACAAATTCAGTTGTGCTACCCAGGAAATGTTATTTACAGTTTACCTTCACCTTAGACTCTCTGACCCTTGAAGACACCTTAGAGGATTGACTGCTCTTTTTTCTCTCCGCTAGTTTATTATCTTTGCCTCTGTCTTTAGGCAGCAGCACAGAATTTCCTGGTGACACCTGCTTGTGACCCCAGCTTTGAGAATCCATTAATTCTTTTCCATCTGCTAGGATCGATAGCTACGGCAACCCTGGGCACCACAGTTCTGTGCACAGCAGAGTCATCCATTTTCCTCTTGAAAAATCATGTAAAAATGGAGAACGATGTCAACATACAAAATAGAATTTCTTCTTTGGATAGTCAATGGCAAATTATTTTTGTAACTATTACATTTCTTTAAAATATTATAACTTAAAAAATGTATAAAGCCCTTTCCAATGAAATTTTTTTTTACCCCAAAATGGTAAAGTCCAATTAAATATTATTATTCCTCACTTTATTGACTAGGAAGCAATCTTGCTCAAGGTTGCCGGTAGGTAACAGAAACGGAACTCACTCGGAATGTCACATTTTTTGGCCATCTTCCCTTTTCTTCATTTAAGGGTTATTGTTAAATAATTATTTTAATTATTTACTTGTTTGTTTGTTTTGTTATTGAGATGGAGTTTCACTCTTATTGCCCAGGCTGGAGTGCAATGGTGATCTCAGCTCACTGCAACCTCTGCCTCCCGGGTTCAAGCGATTCTCTTGCCTCAGCCTCCGGAGTAGCTAGGATTACAGGTATGCACCACCACGCCCGGATAATTTTTTAGTAGAGATGGGGTTTCACCATGTTGGTCAGGTTGGTTTCAAACTCCTGACCTCAGGTAATCCACCAGCCTCAGCCTCCCAAAGTTCTGGGATTATAGGCCTGAGCCACCGTGCCTGGACTCATTGTTAAATAATTAAAGGTGACATTTTATACAATATTTTAAAGCTTCAACACTGTTATTTTGCTTCTATCCAAAGCAGTAAAGAAAACATTTTCCACCGGGCACGGTGGCTCACGTCTGTAATCCCAGCACTTTGGGAGGCCAAGGCGGGTGGATCACGAGGTCAGGAGATCGAGACCATCCTGGTCAACATGGTGAAACCCCGTCTCTACTAAAAATATAAAAAATTAGCTGGGCATGGTGGCGTGTGCCTGTAATCCCAGCTACTTGGGAGGCTGTGGCAGGAGAATTGCCTGAACCCAGGAGGCGGAGGTGGTGGTCAGCCGAGATCGTGCCATTGTATTCCAGCCTGGGTAACAAGAGCGAAACTCCATCTCAAAAAAAAAAAAAAAAAGAAAGAAAACATTTTCCACTTTGAGGTAAAGTACAATGGAGTGCTTCTCATGCGTGAACTGCTACATTTCCCTGAAAAAGGGCTGTCTTTCTTTCTCACATTGCAAAGCAAGCCTGTGCCTCTCTGAACCACCTTACAAATTCACCAAAAGAACTAGCTGCTGAAAAGAGCATATGTACCAGCAGATATCTGTGACCTGACAGCTTAGGATACAAATATTAATCAAAAGAAAAGCAAATAAATAGTTGCCTGTATATTACTTCATCCAAATGCTACCTTATTAGCTCCAAAAACAACAGCAATAAAATATTAGCAGCAACCATTTACTGAATGTTCACTCTAGGGCCAAGCCAAGCAGGACACTCAGCCCCATGTCCGGCCAATGTCATTTACTGCTCAGTATAAGCCTGCGATGCCAGTGCTAGCCTGGCTTTATTTGACTGACGAGGCACTGAGGCTTATGGAGCCCAGGTAAGTTGTCCGGGTTTTTTTTTTGAGATGGAGTTTCGCTCTTGTTACCCAGACTGGAGTGCAATGGCACGATCTCAGCTCACCGCAACCTCCGCCTTCTGGGTTCAAGCAATTCTCTTGCCTCAGCCTCCTGAGTAGCTGGGACTACAGGCGCACACCACCATGCCCAGCTAATTTTTGTATTTTTAGTAGAGACAGGGTTTCACCTTGTTGACCAGGCTGGTCTCCATCTCTTGACCTCGTGATCCACCCGCCTCGGCCTCCCAAAGTGCTGGGATTACAAGCGTGAGCCACCGCGCCCGGCAGTTGTCCAGGTTTTACAGCAGGCAAGCAGCTGAGTGATATCTCCACTCACACCATTGACTTTATTCTTGTCCAAGAGGAAATCTCATTTTATAAAAGAAAAAGTTTCCCACCAATAAAATCAAAATTCATCCAACCCAGAAATCAGCTGAAGAAGTTGAGAGGTCATCTAAGAGAGCTAGCTATACTTTGCTCGTTGGAAATTGGCTTCAGGGAAGACTTCTTAATCTTGTCAGTTTTCCTAGAAAATTAATCTGCATTGCAGCAAAGCCTTAAGACTGTGTGTGTTAAATACTACAGATAAGCTAGACCCTTCCTTCAGCTAGTCACAAACCGTTCAGTTTAGAGGGGGGAAAACAGTAAATTAAGAGAAAGCAATGGGAAACATTTTTCATTGAAAGAGGAGCGAGCCACAAAATATATGATTATTTTCTAGCTATGGGTCTTGACCCTTTGGAGATGTTGAAAGGAATAAATGGTTTGATTGAGGAAAGGGAAAAACAGCAACTTTAAAAAGCTTGCGGCAGATTAGACGGTGTTATGATGCCTGCTGCTGACTTCCTCCTGCCAAAATGAGATTCATTAAAGAAAACTCTTAAGTAAATTAAAGCTCTGCTTGCCAATATCCTCCCTTCCAGATGTTAACAGCCAGCTGTGGCTCATTCGACGACATGGCTGTGGGTGATCAGTAGAAACATGTCTATTAAGAAGGATGAAGAGAAGCACTGGGAAATATTTTATGTACTTTTAATCAAAAATGACCAAACAGCTGACTGATTGATGACTTCTGATATCAGGAACCCGAGATGCTGTCACTGTGTGAGCAATTGCTCATGAGTTAAGTCTGGCCATTCCCGCACTTACAAGATACTGTTATTTCCTGACTATGTCTACGATGAAAAGGTGGCTTAGAGAGCAGTGATAGGGAGGAAACTTTGGCTCAGAGTGGCAGGCCCCTTGGTGAATTGTGGCCTTTTCTGGACTTATCACCAGGGTGGCGTATGTTCTAGGATACAGCAACAGTTCCTCCTGTGGGCATTTCAGTTTATGGAAAATGGCAGAAAACAGAACTGCTTATGTCCAATTAGAATAAACTTCCTGTCCTGCTACATCTGTGTGTGTGTCTCCATCTTCTCTCTCATTCTCTCTCTCTCTCTCTCTCTCTGTTTATCCAGCTATTTCTATAATGGAGATGTATCTCCATTGGAACAGCAATCAAAGGTCACATCTGGTCAGCAGAGTTATTAAATGACACAGTTACTTCCTGGTGTGGTGGGTGGGGCTTGCCCCTGGAAGAAGGCACAGTAAGTCACACACCTATTTTCATCACCCTGATGCTGAAGGGAAGTTCAGAGTACCCGCTTCCATCACCTAAATTTCAGGAAATAG